AAAAAAAAAAAAAAAGAAAGAAACATCAGGTCATCTAGAGATGCTATTAAGAACAAGAAAAGTTAGCCATAGTTATTAAAGAACATATAACTAAAAAGAATTTACATTTAGAAAATTATAAAGAAATCATATAAATTAAGAATAAAATTAAAGACAAACCAAGAGAAAATTAGTAGAAGATTTGATTTTGCCTTTAAAAAAACAAATTTACAATAGCTGATATAATACACCGTCTCATTAGTAATCACACAAATGCAAACTAAAGTCACTGGAGGATATCTTTAAATACCCAGCAGAATGTGAAGATGAAGATGTAAAATATCAAGTGTTTGATAAACATGTAAAATATGTGAAACACTCAAAACCTCTGGTGGGAGTGTAAATTAGTACAACCACTGTGGAAAATTATTTGGGACTTTCTACCAAAGATAGCCTACTTATGATTTAGCAGTTCCCAAAATACCCATCTATTTAGACCCAATCACCACAAAAAATATACAGAAACTCTTAGGACAATTTGTAACAGTATAATAGAGAAAAACCGGAAATCACTCAAATATGCATCAACATTAGAATTGTTAAATATACTGTGGTGTATTAATACATTGCAAGGCCACATCACAATGAAAACGAACACTACTGCTGAGTGAAGCAGCATGAATGAACCCCACAAATATAATATTGAATAAGAAAGAATGAGTCACAAAGAGCACACTAAACTTTTTTATGTAAAACTTGAAAATAGGCAAAACTAATCTACGATGATAGAAGCAAAAATAGTAGATACCTCACTGGTGTGATAACTGGAAAGGAACATGAGACAACCTTGTGGGATAATGTTTATGTCCTATTTCTTGATCTCTTTGAACATGAGATAACTTTGTGGGGGTGATGCTAATAATTGTATTTCTTGGAATGATTAGAGAGACTGTTTGTGTTGCAAAATTTCATTGAGCTGTGCATTTCTGATTTCTGCAATTTTCTGCATATATGTTACACTTTGACAAACAGATTACTTATAAAACAAGAGGTCCAAAATTCAAAGAAAGGTAAAAATAAATTCAAAACATAAAAACTTTGAGCTAAAAGAAAAAAATGTTTGACAAGTCAACCAAATACATCATTTTACACATACACACATACATACACACACTCTCACACATACTTTCCACACACACACACACACACACACAGAGAGAGAGAGAGAGAGAGAGAGAGAGAGAGAGAGAGCGAAATAGAGAGAGATTTGGGCCACTTACTTTAAGCCAGATCTCATTCTCTTTGTCCAGACTACCTTCTGGCTGCTTACTCCCTTCATCCTGAGTTTTATTTTCTCTGGTAACACAAGGAAACCAGCCAGTAAGGGTTTGGTGCTTGGGTAAATCTGGATGGTATGGTGTGCAAATCTGAAATGCAATTTCAACCAAAAATTTTAAATATGCAGTATGAGAGATAAATAAAGACAATGAAACTCTCCAGCTCAAAACCAGTTTTCCTCTCTTTTTGCGTGCCTATTGATCACATTATTGGCAGAAAACTTTTCTCAGTGTAGAACTTCTCAGCACTCTCTGTTAACATCAAAATATAACTTGTCAGTATAGGAAAACACACATGACAACTCTGCTCATTGTCAGCCCAGGGATCTTACCCAAAGAATAGTCCTGGCATATTTCAGGTAAGTGCTCCAAGATCCGGCCACGGAAGTTTGTCCAGGATGATAATTAGGTCCTCACCGTGCAGCACTGACTGCCCCAATAATGAGGCTACTGAGTCAGGGAAACACTGAGCCCTCAGCTGGGCAAAAAAGCCAGAAACTCCAGGAAGTTTCTCCCACTTTACTTAGGGAAGACAGGCAGGTGAGACTAAAAGTCACTTCATAGAGCTGTCAGCTCAAAATCCTCCAAATTTCCTGACTTCCTGTCATGGTATGCCAGAACTCTGAGGAAGATGCCAGAATTAGGCTGAGAGAACATTACCAAAACAGCTAGTTGCCTGACCATATCTATTTCCCCTTTGTTATTAACAAACTCTAATTTTGCTCCAGGTGACAATATATCCAGTTGTAAATGCTCATGTCCTCAGGATTCCTTACAACTAAGGGAGGTGAAGTAGCCTGGATCTGACCTGTACGATGTGGGTAGAAATCTATAGTGTTGAACTTCCAGAAAATCTACCTTTTTCCCAACAAAAAGGGAAAGGCTCAGTTGGCTTGCATCTGTTTCCCTTTGGCCTGCCCCCTTCTTTTTACTTGAAATGCTGAGTTCATGCCTAGGGAGCCACTACCATATTATAAGGAGGAAGAAGATGGAAGCCGAGGATGGAAGAGCTGGAATCCAGAAGACCCAAAGTCTTTTGATGAGATTCCTGAACTAGATTGGTTCTTTGGTTGATTCCTTCAAGATGTCTCCTCAAATCTAAAATCCTATTGTTTTATCCTGGCCTAAAATTTCTAGAGGACTAAATTTCACTTCTGTGAAAGGGTTGTATTGCCAATTGTTATAATGAATGGAAGAGTTTATTTGGCAATAGAAGCATCTGGAATGATATCCAAGAGCCCATAATCTTCTTTTCAGTATTTACCATAATTCATAGGTGTCATCAGCATAGCATCTTAGAGCCCTCTGAAGAGCCCTTATCAATTTAGATGGATATCCAGAAAAACTGTATTATCTAAGAATTGGTTTCTAGTACTAACTCTAATATTTCTTCAATATTTAAACTTGTCGATTTAGGGAGACTGCCAGGGTAGATGGGGGGAGGGGTCACATGACGTCAATAAGGTACCTGATCCTAAACCAGGCAAAATGAAGCCCAATGGGAGGCCCAAACTTTATGTATGTAGACCGCTTATGGACCTAATCCCTACTTGTACCCCACATCTTTAAAGTAAAATATTTTTTAAAAACTTGTCAATTTATACTTTGATTTTTAATCCATATTTTAAATTTCATTTTATCATTGTAGCAAACTATTAAGTAAAATGTAAAAGGAATTACTATAATCATTTTACATACAAGAAACTTGGAGCCCCAGAGATGTTAAGAGACTTGGTCAACATCACATAATAGTTATATTGGTGGGTTCAATAGTTATATTGGTGTGTCCAATAGTGTTACCTGGGCTTCTTGATTCCTTATTGCTACTTTTTATCCTCTTAAAATAAAATTATCCTGGCCAGGTGCAGTGCAATCCCAGCACTTTGGGGGGTCGAGGTGAGAGGATTGCCTGAGCCCGCAGATTCGAGACCAATCTGGACAAAATGCTGAGACCTGGTCTTTACAATAAATCAAAAAATTAGCCAGGCATGGTAGCACACCTCTGTAGTTCTGGCTACTTGGAAGGCTGAGGTGAAAGGATCCCCGGAGCCCAGCAGGTTGGCTCTGGGTGGCCATGAGCATGCCACTGCACTCCAGCCTGAGTGATAGACTGAGACTCCAACTCAAAAACAAAACAAAACAAAATAAAATAAAATTATCCAAACACAGAGCCTAAATGTAATTTCTGACATGTGCACCTATTAATTCAGATGCTTGTACATATATAACTTGGAGTCAGCCACTGCATAGTCAAACATTCCTAGAAAACTAGTGAAGGTGAGAGAGGCGTGTGGGGGATGAGGTTTCATTGCTATTCTAGAAGCTTTTAATTTAACATCATCTTGTTCCGAGATTAGTAAGGACAAAATTTTATGTTAAAGTCTGGAGTAAGCTTCCATTAGGCATCAGCCAGAGTCACGTCACAATTTTACTCAACCTGGAGTCTATTCATCAGCTTAACGTACCATGGAATGAGGTTCTCCAGTTACCAAGGACACAGGACACTTCTTCTTGTCTTCATGAGAGGAGTAAGCCTGGGTAGCCCACTGATAGAAATATCCTTTGGGAGCATGGAGGCCACAGTCTAAGATGCTGGTTTCTTTCTCAAAAGGCTCACAAATCCCATCTCCCTCATGTACATAGCAAAGGCTTGGCTCCCCTGCCAAGAAACATTGTATACACTGAAAAAAGTGTTTTTATATATGTCATGAGCAAGAATTAACATGGGAGTGTCCACAGCATTTCTTTTCCAGGCTACTAAAGAGAATCCTGTAACTGCCAGTCAGTCTAATGCCTACTCAAACACACACACGCATGCACATGCCTAAAGAAAAATGATTCTTTTTCATTGGGAGAAAGGTAGAATCCAGCTACATAATTAAGGCATAGAAAAGGTTGGGACTAGAGAAGAAGGAACAGGGAGAAAACACAATCAGCTGTAGGTTAGGTGTGGAAAGGAACTTTAAGTAATAGTTGAGTGAGATACTTAAGGAAAACTGGAGAAGTAAGTAATAGAAGAAAGGAAATTTAAATAAATAGGAATTTTATTATGAATTTGAATGCCTTTCATAGTTTTTGAAATATTAAAGTATTTAAAGGATTTGTTTTAAGTCACTGTTTGTTGCTGAATTGTGCTTCTTCAATTGTGTAACCGCTCTGAAACTGGACATTTTGGGTTCCAGGCTCGTAAGGGTTACATATATATTATTTCTTTTAGTCTTAGGACAATCATGCGAGGTGTGGATTTTTTGTTGGGTTTATACATGGAAAACCTGAGTCTCAATGATTCTCAGTGACTTCCCAAAGGAAAGGATCCTTGAATGGTGAGCAATAGAGCTTGGTTTTGAGTCAGACTCACAGAACACAGGTTCAGCAGGCTCTCATTCACATTGTCTCAAACTGAGACTGAGGGACTGTCTTCAAGAGCAAACATGTGAGAAATGAACATTTCAGAAAAACTACTGGGGTTGTAAAGCCAAATGACATTCACTGGACACATTGCAAACTTGTTCATAGGATAATTCCTAATAAGAGAATAGTGCTACTCCTTTGCAGATACGTAGACTCATTTTCTTCAAAAGTAGAAAGCTGAGAAGCAGTTACAAAGCTGTTTATAAAGTTCTGTTGCATTTTCTACCAAAATGTGAGAAACTACTAACAGCACGATTCTAATTTACCATTTCTGCTTAAAGTAATAAGACATAAAAATAAAATAGGATAAAGTTTCAAAATAAATCAACAAGGTACATATTCAATAACATCCTTACTAAAATTTACTGTTACTATAGCATTATTTTTGCTTTTAGTTCTTCAGAGCAACTCCACAGGATTACTTCATTAAGTTGTCAACTGCTTGTCCAATATATGATTGTTAATCATTTTTCTTAATAATTTCCTGAAGTCTAAGATTTTTCTGTGGCAAATCTATCTCTACTTGACAGAAATAAGCCACTGTTCAAAGAATTTGCTTCTAAGTCTACTTTGGACTTTCAACTCCTGTATTCCATCAAACCTGTGCCTACTCATAACACTTCCCCAAAGTCAATATAGGTACTTTTGTAATGTCTTTCCCATGTCTCTCCCTGCCCACCTCTCTCTCAGAGAGTGTGTGTGAGTGTGTGTGTGTATCTCGTCTATCTCTCTCTTTGTCTCTGTCTCTCTGTGTGTGTGTCTGTCTCATCTATCTCTCTCTTTGTCTCTGTCTCTCTGTGTGTGTGCCTGTCTCTCTATATATATGTGTGTGTGTGTGTGTGGGTGTAGTTTTGTTTTGTTCTGTTTTTCTATTTATAACTCAGTGACTGAATCTTCTTGTTTCTTGTCTGTTTTTATTAGCATGGACTTAAAATTTTTGTCTTTTTTTCCAAATCCATCTGAAAATAACAGACCACTTTAAAAATGCATTTTGTAATGGTTCCTTCAAACCTAATCTTTTAAGAAATAATGAAATAGAACTATGTGCTCAACATAAGATAAACTTTTTACTCACTGAAAAATATGTCTAATGATGGAATACATAATTTTAACTTTACCATGTAAAATTTTTAAATATAATCATAAATATAATATTTAAATGTAGCTAAAATAATCTAGATATAGTCTTACTAGAGTGAAAGGTTAAGGAAACAGTAGCTGAACTTTATAGGATCAGATGCGACAGAAACAAAGCAAGGTCTGCTCTTGAGTTAAATGAGACTTGGAGTTCACAGTGTTTGAGAATATATATTTATGTTCAGTATGTGGCTACCAAAAATAAATGATGTAAACAGGGGGGCATGAATAAATACTTGTGTACAGAAGAGGGAGGTAATCAGTCTGACATACTCTGCAGCCAGACCACATCTGGAGTGTTGGATTCCTTTCTGGGTATTGGCCACATGAAGCATGCCAGTTTGGGGTAAATAGGAAAGGGTCTGGAAATCTAATCGCATGAGGGGATGTTTGGATTGGAAAGGGGGATAATGAGGAGGTATTTCAAATATCTGAATGGTAGTCAAATGAAACAGAAAATATATATATATTCTCTGTAGTCTCATAGCAAGGAAAATGCTCTTGATTAAGCACGGGGAGAACCGACTTCCAGGGCCAGCCCTGCCGGGGCCTTACTGTGTGCCCTTGGATGAGTCGCTAAGATGTTCTGAGCCTCAGTTTTCAAACTGGAAAAAAGAGAAAGAATTTTATAACAAATAAGACCATTTTTAAACAGAAAGATCTGTTTCAAGGTGCATTCTCACTGTTAGAATTACATATGCAGAAGGCAGAGGCCCAGGTCTCAAGAGTTAGTAGAAGGGATTTCTGTTAGAGGGCAAAACTGAACTCTAAGTTTCTGTTAGACTTGTGCTCATGAGATCAGCATCTCTATCAGAATTGTGGTACTTGATGTGCACGCACTAAATTCATGGTACCACTGACTATATGGTACATGAAGGGCATTTGTCAAATGGGTGGATGGAAAACCACCAAGATTCCACAGTGCGGCTCTGGTTCTAGAGAGCGGGGGCATTTGTGTGTTCTGTACAGTACTTAATACCTTAATAAATTCTACATGATTATAATCACATTCTACTTTATCTTAAGATTCAGAGACATAGCCGGGCTTGGTGGCTCAGCCTGTAATCCCGCGCCTTTGGGAGGCTGAGGTGAGTGGATTGCCTGAGCCCGCGGGTTCGAGACCCGCCTGGGCAGCGAGACCTCATCTCTACAATAAATCAAAAAAATCAGCCGGGCGTGGTAGCGCATGCCTGTAATTCCGGCTTCTCTGAAGGCTGAGGCAGAAGGATCGCCGGAGCACAGCAGGTGAGGCTGCGGTGGCCTGGAGTGGCCACTGCACTCCAGTCTGGGCGACCGAGTGAGACTCCAACTCAAAAAAAAAAAAAGATTCAGAGACATAAAAATGCTTAAATGTACTATTTAAGTAACTTTGATGTATGGCTGTGCTCCACAGAATCACTGCAATGCATGCAGATGAGAATGGAAAACCATCTGTATCTGAGAAATCTGTTGTTGAAAGCTTTAATCAGAATTGGGAGAAGTACTGTAAACTGCCTCCTTGAATGGCAAGCGTCTAGAGTCAAAGGCACCTTAGACTCTAGAATCAAAGTTATACATTGTTAAAATTGACTCTCCAAGAGTAAAAAAGTTATGATCCTTTGTTATCCTTCATGATTTTATCTATTAAACATAGTCACCAAAAGCTTTCTTGCACTCCCTTTGGCTTAGAATGTTTCTAATTTGTGTGTAGAATCTGGATAATTGTGTCACTTAGTGTTACACATAAGGACCCAAGAAAAATCCTTGGTGACATTACGCTAAGAAGCGGTATAACCTTATGGTTTAACATGTAGATTCTAGAGCTGTATGCACTTCTTTAGTTCAAATCCTGACATCGCTACTTCTAGCTGCATAAGTAAAAGCAAGTTACTTAAACTTTGTGCATCTGTTTAGTTTTCTCATAGTTATTGTAAGGAATGAATGAGATATCTGGCAAGAGATGATATTGTTGTTATTATTGCTAATCTAGATGTTACAGGATATCAATAACTCACAAAATGATACACTGAGACACCTCCAAGAATAACACACAATCCTAGGCAGGAACTCTAGAACTCACCTACACAGTTGAAACCTTTCTCCAGCTCACATGTCCTGGAGCAACCATCTCCGTTCAGAAGGTCTCCATCATCACACTCTTCTCCTAGGCTCCTAGAAGGTAAACATATACAAACACACACAACATAAAATGATGTTCTTGTTTAACTACAATAATTTTATTTTATTTTTTAAGTCAGGGTCTCAGTCTCTTGCCCAGGCTGGAGCACAGCAACATGATCACAGTTCACTGCAACCTCAACTTCCTGGGCTCCAGTGATCCTTCCACCTCAGCCTCCTGTGTAGCTGGAACTATGGTGAGAACCACGTGCCTAGCTAATTTTTTTTTTTTTTAGAAATGGAGTCTCGCTATGCTGCCTAGGCTGGTCTCAAACTTGGGCTCAATCAGTCCTCCCACCCCAGCCTTTCAAAGTACTGGGATTATAGGCATCAGTCACTGCATCTGGCCTAGCTACTATTATCTTAAATTATTATAAGTTTTATTAGCTATTTACCAAGAAAAAAAGGAGCTAAGAGAACGCTTTAACAGAAAAAAAAATCAGACTGGGCTTGCTGGCTCTTGCCTACAATCTCAGCAACTTGGGAGGCTGAGGTGAGAGGACTGCTTGAGTCCAGGAATTTGAGACTAACCTTGGCAACATAATGAGACCCCTAATTCCACAAAAAAATTTAAAAATTAGCCAGTTGTGGGGGGCACGCTCCTGTAGTCCCAGCTACTTGAGAAGCTGACGTAGGAGGATCGCTTGAAGAAGTGGAGGTTTCAGTGAGCTATAATCATGCCACTGCACTCCAGCCTGGGTGACAGAGCAAGGCTCTGTCTCTAAAATTAAAAAAAATCAAACATACATGTATCTAAAGTAGATCAAATTTAAATGTTTACTTAAAATGTAAAAGTTTACTTAAAAACTTATAAAGTATGCTAAATTTAAAGACAAATTAAGCAGCGATTGTTGATTAGCATGTCCAGTAAGTTATGGGAATTCCTAGAAATCAATTCCTCAGAAACATCTGGGAGACCCAGGAGGGTCCTGACAGTGGAGGGTCTTCAGCTTAGAAAAGGCCTACTAGACCTATAATGAATAGTCTTAGAAATAGCAGATTTGGTAAGGAGAAAACAGGCCTGTCTGTGTGCTTTTGCTTTCTATTTATTTTGTTTTATTCTATATGTGCAGTTGTGTAAAAGTTAGGATTTTGTGGATTTGAATGTTCTGTTTATATACCTGGTGATTTATACAGCTCCATTTTCGCCACTGTCTCTCAGTCCAAAGGCATCATAAGGGTTCAGGTCCCTGTCTCTACTTCCTACTACCACCTTGTGGCAGCTGACAGGGAAGAAATAAATGCTGGGAGGAGCAGAATAATGTTTCAGACCTCAAATACTAACACAACTGATGGCTAAATTGGATCGAAGTGAGAAAGTTAGTTTATAGTGAGGAGCCACGAAGTTTATGGGGACAACATATATAAATGTGGGTTGAAGTTCCTACGGATGACCCAAGATTTGGTCACTGCAAAATGGATGAGGGTGATGACTTTTTCTCCTTGACTCTTCACATGTTCAAAATGAACATGTATTTTATTTTATTTTTTTTTTCATTAATCAGTATTTTTTTATTATGGTTTTGTGGGGTACAGTTAAGGGTTAAGTGTACAATGACGTTTCATTCAGGCACCCTGTAGATAAGAAGTGTTTTCCCATCCCCCGACAAGCTAAGCTTCATCAGTGAGGGAGAATTAAAATGAACATTATTTTAACCGAGTAAATGAGGGCATTGGAATGCTAAAGTGCAGTCAGATCCAGTACATCTCTAGTAGCTCTAACCCATTGTTTAAAGTATACTTATGGAAATATATTAAAGATTAAGTAGGTATAAGAATACTTTGAAATGAATTTAAAATATACTATGAGAACAATGATATAATAATCATATTTTAAGTGGTAAGTTGGAAATAAAGAAAGACTAAAAAAGATATGAAAAACAACATAATTGAAGAAATTAAAGAAACTTCAAAAAATTTTTTACATAAAAACAATATGAATCAATGAAAACAAACTGCACTGGGTACCTAATCAAAATGTATGCTATATCCAAGAAATCTCCAAATACTTTATGTTTCAGTGTGTTCATTTACAGAGAGAGGACTACACTACATGGGTGTTTCCCAACAAGCAGTCTAGGTTAATTATGGAGGCCGGCAATTGTATATTATTACTTTGAAAATAATATAAACAATTAGTGTAAACATAGTATGCATGATCTTGTGCAGTGCTGCCCAATAGGGATATAATTAGAGTCACATATAATTTTTTTAATTTTCTAGCAGTCATTAAAAAAGAAACAGGTGAAATTGGTTTTAATAATATATTTCATCTAGCCCAACATCTCCAAAATACTATCATTTCAATCTGTAATCAGTGTAAAATTTTTATTGAAGTAAGTTAACATTCTTTGTTTGCATACTAGACCTTTAAAATCTAGTGTGTATTCTTTATTTACCATGCATCTCAATGAAAGTACTTGGCCTGTATTTAGATGTCCTAAACTTTGTAGATGGAGTGAGATTCCAACTCAAAAAAAAAAAAGTAGATTCACCTACCCAAGTTGTCCCAAATACACTTGAAGATTTTCCAATAACAGAATTCTTTCAGTTTTTAAATATAAATTACTTGTATTTAAATAAAATTAAATATTTAGTTGCATTGACCATATTTCAAATGCTCAAGAGTCGCATGTGGCTGATGGCTCCCACACTGGACAGCATAGATGAAGATATCACCTTCTGTATGAACACCGTTCACAACTTCAGGGCCCTACATCGTGATATGACAGTACTATTAGCAAGTGATACTCAAGCAGATTAAGTGATTTATTTGTATGGTCTTTCTTGTTTTATGTGTCATGGGATGCTCCCAGATGAGCCTGATCTGGAATTCAGAGATATCTTCCCATCAGATGGAAGTATTAGTTACTCTACACAGGCAGTCACCAAGAACATTCTGATGAGGAACCTTGTGAGACCCACTACTAGCCAAGCAGTCCTGCCTTAAGTGAGGTTGCTTTAAGGCACAGGAGAGAATGCATAATAGCAAGTTAGGACAAGAACCCCTCACCCCTTTCTGCTGCACACCCTCCAGGCATGTGGCATCCTGGGGCCTGGAGGTGGACACCATTAGATGCTGCCTTGAAAGACTCCATGATATAGAATAGAGTGTTTTGTTCAAGGAAGGCTCTGCCAGTGTAGCCGTCGTCACGCAGGCCCTCAACACCCTGTAATAGGTGGGTTGCAGACTTAAAATAAAGTGGCTAGAACAGGAAAAACAACAACTACAACCATGTGAGGCATCCCCAGGGAGAGATTTTACTGGAGATGAGCCAGGGGAGTTGGCAGGCTAATACTGAGTTAGGCAGCAGGGGAAAGCACACGGGCAAGGTTTGGGTATTAAAGGGACCTCAATCACTTCCATATAGTAATGAGATCTGGGAACATTTTAGTGTTTGTACTTCTATGAAAATAAATAGAAGCCAGGCGTGGTGGCTCACATCTATAATCTCCGCACTTTGAGAGGCTGAAGTGGCAGGATTGCTTGAGGTCAACCGTTTGAGACTCTCCTGGGCAAAAAAGTGAGGCCCTGTTTCTATTGGGCCTGGTGACATGCACCTATAGTCCTAGCTACTTGGGAGGTTGAAATGGGAGGATCACTCGAGACCAGGAATTCGAGGTTGCAGTGAGCATTGATTTTACCACTGCTTTTCAGTTTGGGCAACAAAGTGAGGCTCTGACTCAAAAAAAGAAAGAAAGAAAAAGAAAAAAAAAGTGTTTACCCTATAGCTTATGAATCTTAGAAGACTGAGAAGATAAACAATATTTAATGAATGCTAAATGATGGGATGAGATTCCAAGAAAGGCTACCGAATCGATTTCAATTAGGGTTTCAAGATGTACTATATTTTCACCTGGTCTGGGAAATTAAAAACAGACTGTTTATTAGGATACAGGGTCTAAGACAAATCATGGTGCCTAGTTTCCAGCCTCCTTATTCTAGTAGTTTTATAAAAGTAATAAATGAAGAGCACCTGATCTCAAACCAGGCAAAGTGGGAACCAAAGGGAAGCCCAAACTTTACCCGTATGATGACCACTTTCATTCCTAATCCTGAATTGTACTCCATATCTTTAAAACAAAAAATAAAGAAAAAAACAAAAAAGTAACAAATGAGATTGGATGAGCAGTAAGGATAGGCTGATGTAGGGATGACCAACTGTCCTGATTTTCCTGGAATTTGGGCTTTTTCAGTGCTCAAATGGAGAAAGTCTCAGGCAAACCAGAATGAATGAGTCCCCTAGGTTGACAGCACAAGAAGCAACAGAAAAAGAAACATTGTATGCTAAGAATCCAAAAGAGTGATTCCATCTCTACCTTGGTGGTGCTTACAGAATAGCTGGAAATTATATTGTAATCAGTTCTTCCCAGAGTCACATAAGCAACTGCCTGTGAAAAGTTCAGGAAGCTATACTGCCTTTCCTCAGATCACATAGCTAGGTAGTAGTATAGGCCACTGGTCCAAAAGATATCCTCTTTCAGCATCATCTGATGAGGAACCTTCTGCATAAATTCCTCTTCTGAATCCCGGCCCAGCAGTGTTCATAGATGCCATAAGATAGCCCTCAGAGAATCAGCCTCAATATCCCAAAATTCTGGGGTGAGCTCTAAGCAAAAGTGTATCTCTCCCATAACCAGGTAGAGATGTCAGTGACCTCTCAAAATCATGACCAAGTCCCAGAGTTTGTAATGTCAACACTAGAATCACACAGTGCCTTGCTCCCAACATGCCCCAAACAAGTCAAACGTAAACTGGAGACTGAACCTCCTGGTCAGAGTAGGACAGATGGCCCCACTCACACATTCCCACACACGCAACACTCACCTTGCCACTTTTCCATCTCCGCAGTAAGGAGCTCCATGGATGTGGTTCAGAGGAGGGGAAGCTTCTCCCAGTTCTTCTCCAGCTTCCACTTGAACTTGGTATTGATACATCTGCCCAGGTGTGACCTCCCTGTGGAAAGCATCAGGCTTGTGACCACCACATCCACAAATGGAGACCTGAGTTGGGTCCTTTGCGGATGATTTGTAGAAGTTTAAGGAAAATATTATGGGGAGCAAAAATGTGAAAAATATGCCACATTGTCTAAAATAAAGATCAGGGCACATAGTCTTACAGAGCCATAGACTAAAATCATATTTATTTTTGTATCCCTATATGTTCCACAAAGCAGATATGCAATAAGTGCTTGCTGAATTAACACTAAATTTAGCAGTCCTAGTCAATTCAGAAAGATAGTATTTCAAGTGTTTTTTTAACCACATTAAAACAAAACAACTGCTGGGCTCGGTGGCTCAGCCTGTAATCCTGCTCCTTTGGGAGGCTGAGGTGAGTGGATTGCCTGAGACCGCGGGTTCAAGACCCGCCTGGGCAGCGAGACCTCATCTCTACAATAAATCAAAAAATCAGCCGGGCGTGGTAGCGCATGCCTGTAATTCCGGCTACTCGGAAGGCTGAGGTGGAAGGATCGCCAGAGCCCAGCGGGTAGAGGCTGTGGTGGCTGGGAGCGGCCACTGCACTCCAGTCTGGGCGACTGAGTGAGACTCCAACTCAAAAAAAACCAAACAAACGAAAAAAAAAAAAAAAACAACTAGTCAAAATAATTCTGGTATTGTCAGAGTAATCAAAGAAGCTGGATAAGAAACTTGGACTCAGGATGACCCTTCTTAAGTCTATGGATCATAGTTTTCTATTATCTCAAGACAATTCTTGTCTTGGGGAGACTGAGTTCTTAAAGGTAAGCTCAACTGTCTAATAGTAGAAGGTAAGAACATTTTCCACCATCATTTGGGGGATGCAAGAAGTTCCACATTTAGAAATGCATTAAATTACTCCCCACCTCCAAACCTATGAAATTGCATATATACCAGGAATGGAGTTGTATCAGTTGATGCTAGAGATAGAAGGATTTTATAGGGCTCTTTCTAGAGCCCAAGTGCACTGCTCATGTGGAGAGAGTGAGAAGCTGGGCATTTAGAACGGGGAAAGGGCTTATGAAGCAGGGCTGCTGATTCCAAAGACAAATTCTGTCCTCTTCTTAATTTTTCCAGTGCCTGTCCTAATTGCAAAGCAATCTCCGAAGTAAAGCTAGGATGGGAGTGACCTAGAAGGACAGGATCTCAAAAGGTTATTGGGACTTCCATGAGTGGCTGCCATAAATCTTCTGTCAAGACCCTCTCTTCCTTAACTGAATTTTCAACTCAACCACAAAACCTCCACTCCCTCACCTGATGCAGCAACCAGCAAACAGGAAATGTCTCAGGGTTTCAAAAACACCTTTCAATTCCTCTGTACTGGCTTTAAGATTTTAATAGGAAAGACTCCTACATATCAAAGTCTTTTCTATTTCCAAATTTATTTCCCCTCAACCCTGGGAAGCAACCCTCTCATGAGAGTGCCAGATATTTCTAAAGCAAAATCAATTTTATATCCTAATCAATGCAGATGGTTTCCCTTCACAAGGTGGTTCCTATCAAACTTCTTGTCTAGCCACACATAAAAATTTTGCACTGTTATGTGGCTGGGAAGGAACTGGGAGGAAACAGTAATGTTTACTCTTCTTAGGGGAAAACTCATAAGCAGGTAGCCACAGCCTTCAACCATCTGAGTTTGTAAAAGGCAATGTGCTACTGAGGAAAGAGGACCAAAACGAAGTCCAGTTGGGAAATTGGGTTCTAGTCCCAAGTCTGCCATTTACTAGTTACTCAACCAAATTAAAGTCAAGCTTCTGTTTTCTCATCTATAAAATGGGATATTATTGGCCTTAAACTGTGTGTGTGTGTGTGTGTGTGTGTGTGTGTGTGTGTTGCAAGTTGTGAGATAACAAATGTCATTTTAACTTCCTATTTAAGGAAGTTCAAAATGATTTTTTTCTTTTAAAATCCACCCCATTATCTATCCCCTATTTGCATTAGCTCTTTGGTCATTGCACTGTCTTCTAGTTCAAATTAAGAGAGCAAATAAGGGAAGAAAAATGTAAGAAAACTCAAGGTGGACCCTTTTTTAAAAAATCTTTTTTGTAGCCATGATAGACTGCCAAATGTACCCTGTCCCAGATGTTGCCCTCTGCAATATGGTTTTGTTGCCTCTCCTATCAAAAAGGAGAGTTTATTTGTCACCCCTTGAACCTGGAATTGGCTTTGTGACTTGCCTTGGCTAGTGGAACACGATCATGAGTAACATAAAGCAGAATTTGAAAAGTACAAGTGTTTGGGGGTTTGCCCTCCCTGCTGCTGGAAACTCTTCCACCACCATGAGAAGCCCAGACCAGGCCTTGAGAGACATGAGAAATGAGGCCCTCATCTTCCCAGTCATGCCAACTGTTCCAGCTGCGGCCACTAATATGTATGAGAGGTCATCCCAGGCCACCTAGCTCTGGCCAAGTCAGTCTAGACGAGAACACCCAGCCCACCCATTGAATCATGAGAAACAATGCTTGTTGTTTTAACCCACTACATTCTGTGATGATTTCCAGTGCAGCAGAAACTAACTGACACAGGAACATCTCTGATACAACTTTGTTTTACCAAAATTCTGCCCTCATGGTAAGTCCCTGAGCAAAGTTATGAAGTGGAGAGAATTTGCCATTGGAGTTACCAGCCTCCTACCCTAGACATTGAATTCTTTGTAGGTAATGACCTTACATAGTCTGTGTCCCTAGCACTGAGCACACAGTGCCAGGAACATACTAGAGCTCACTAAATGTAGAAAGAAAGAGAAGAACTAAGAGAAAGAGGAGAGCTGGAAGAGAAGGCAGGAATAGAGAGGAAGGGAGAAGTGAGAAAGGAAGAAAGCATAAAACATATCATGAATGAGACATGACATTGACTGCAGGGTCTTTGGGGCCCTTGACCTTTTTGCTTAGCTATGGAAGAGTCAACCATAACTTTTGAATGTCATAGGATCTACAGCAGATGTTCAGACAGTTACAGCAAGGAAACAGAAATTAAATTGTCACCAGATAAGAGTAGCTAATCAGCTTATTTGTGGCAATTACATTCAGTCCAACTGAAATGTCCCACATACTAACCTCTTTTTTCAATAATCATAACACTGGCGTCAACAAGCAGACAACTGCTTGTCCTTTTCTGGGAAATATTTTTCTTCATCTCAGAGATGCCACCTTAGAGTAAAGTCTCCTCTGAGATTCTAAACATTTCTCCAACTAAGGGCACATCAGAACAGAAAAAAAATGGGGAAAGGAAATAAAACCCACTCCCCAGTGTCCCAGGATGCCCCACAGTTTAGAAGGCCCTGCTACCCAACTCACACGTCTGTGAACTTCCTCTGAGGGTGAGTCACCACCACAGGCAAGCCACTGGCAAACGGGGGATCACGGAGAACCTGGTACCTCACAGGCCTGCAGCCAGAGCACAGGGGACTGTGGGGCTGAGAAGTCAGGAGGGCCGCGTCAATCTCCATCCGCTCATCAAAGGTGTAGACTCTGACCCCCGAGACCTTCCCATCCACGTGCAGTGTGATAGTGAGTGGGATGTCACAGAAAGTGTCTAAGGGGCCCAGGTGCATAGACTCCTGGTTTTCCAGCAAGATCTCCGTGTCAAAAAGGGCCTTGGAGGAGTCCATGGAGAGGTAAGTGACCCACAGGGTGAGAGTGTCAGCTTGGACTGGGTGTTGGAAGAACAGCTCCAGGCTACAGCCTTCTGCGGGGCAGGGGACCGTCATGTTCATATGGTACAGGTGGAGCTCAGGACTCCAGGCCCGCAAGCTGGGCTCGCAGGGCTGATCCACGTCAGGAGGCCCTGGGGGAGACGAGCAGAAAGACACATCAGGAGCTGCCATTAAAAGTCTGCAAATGAGCACCCCTTATCCACAGCCAGAAAGAGGAATGAAGAAGGAATTTGGCATTCCTACAGAAATTGGTCATCCTAGTGAGTTAGATCTTAAGTACTAGAAGGACAAAAGTGTAAAAGCAAAAAGTATCACACTTTTGTTACCCTATCCCTCTTCATGGTGTCCTCAGCAAGAGGAATTCAGTAGAGAATTGGGAATGGAGCCACTCAGATCCTAGGTAGAAACAACAGACTGACTCAGAGAAGTTAAGTCATGTCCCTAAAGAACCCTTGACTAGAGGAGAGTTACAAGTACTTGGTTTATTGATTATTTATGATAAATACATGCTTTTGGAGTACAATGTTAATTTCAGTCTTCCACTACAATAATTGTAGTGCTCCTCACAAAACTTTTCCATTCCCTAAGATACTACCTTGGAAGACTTTTCAATGGAAGGGTAACCAAACTTTAAAACCATACATTGAAATCTCCCTTTCAGTGCAGGTGTGGGTGAATAGGTAGGTAACTGTGTGAAAGGATCTGCAAGCAGGAGATATAAACATTATTGAGTGGGGGGGGGAGGATATTCAAAACCAAGTAAAAATGCAACAATGAAAAATCAAGCATCACAAATATATTGAAGTAAGCTCTGTGGAAGTAATCCACACAAGGTGGTTTTCTTTTCTATCACATAAGGGGAGTTTAAGAAAAAGTGTCAAATTAGGAATCAGCAGAGTTGGCCTCCTGTCAGCGCAGTACCATTAACTGTGTGACTATAGCACATCTTTCAAGCCTTAATTCCCTCATTTATAAAATGAGTAATAAGTTTAGCCCTACCTTACTAGGTTAGTGTAGATCTATACTACAATGCTCCATAAAAATTATCTGCATTTGCCAAACTATAATTATTTTGCTTTTCATAATTTGGAAAATACTGTCCCAAAAACCCAGAGAAAATGAGTTCAAAAGTGTGTGTGTGTATGTGTGTGTGTGTGTGTGTGTGTGTGTGTGTGTGTGTGTGTGTGTGGTGTTATGTTACATCTTATGGTTCTCACTGCTTTTTGTCTACATTGTGAGTTTGTTCATTCATTCAATCAAAATTGACGTGCCACTTTTACACCTAGCACTAATCTAGGTATTAGAGATAGAGGAGTGAACAAGAGAGATGAATGTCTTACTTTCGTATATCTTACAATAGGGTGATAGATGCAACAATACATTTATAAAGGGATATAAAGTATAATACTAGGTAGTGATGGCATTTTGAAGAAATATAAAGAAACAGAGAATTATGGGATAGGGCTGGGAAATATTTTAGATCATAAAACCAGGATGCTCTTTTTAAGAAGATGATACTTAAACAAGGAATGTGTCTTGTTCAATTTCTAATCCCCATAGCATTTAGAAAGTAGTTGGTGGTCAATAAATGTTCATTAAGTGTCACTAAAGGCATTTAGATCCTATCTGTAAATCCATGTGTTTACAACTGTTCTGTTAGGGATTCAATTACTTTTATTGTGTATATTTTAAAATATGACTTGGTTCTTCACCCTTTAAAAGCAAAGGAAGATACACATTTCTTATTAATTATATGTCCTTAGTTTATTAATGATGTATGATAAATTAATGCTTCTGAAGCCCAATGTTAGTAGTTTGAAAAATTACTCAGTTAATCCCATGTTTATCCCAGAGTACTAGCAGAGTAACGTCCCTTTGAAGCCAATCCAACAGCAGCTCTGCCAGTCAAGAAGGTGTTGTGATGACCTCACAGTAAAGCATGAAGTGGGGGGGGGGTTCCTCAAAGTTGACTTAGTTTTCCTTAAAACGCAACACAAGAATTAGAACCCAAAACTTCTCATTCCTTTCATCTCTACCAAATAACTTTGAATTTTTCCAAGAACTAAAAAGAAAAAAAAAAAAAAGGACAAGGCCAGGGAATCAAGCAGGCCTTAAAAAGCTAGCAAAGAACAAACTGTTTGCCTCAAAAATGGCCTTTTAAAAATGCCAATCTCTAAATGAGTCCACTGCAGTAAATTTTATATTCACTTTCCATTCTTTTCTGAAGATTCTCACTTGAAAAAAAGTCATATACGATCAGTCAAGCAAATTGTCTCCCTCCAGATTTATCCTTGAGGCCCTGTCACTTGAGTAACTGGAGCCCAAGATGACATCTGGCAGATGCTGTCAACTCTTTGACCAATATCCTCTTTTTCTCCTGTCACAGTCAAGACTGCAAATTAATTCAAATAGGACTTTGTTCAACTCATCTTAGTTTTTAGGATCTGAGTAAATATAAGGGAAAAAAACTCCAGAGAAACAATTTGATGATGAGGTAAACATTAAAGATGGTGATGCTGGAAGAAACCAAGCCATTCATCAGGAGGTGCTAAAAGTCCTGTCAACAGCATTTTCTGGACTTGAACTGGGAAAAGATTCATGCTGTAATTTGTCTTAGGGGCACTAACATACATATGTATGTGCATATGTGGCTATTTGAGAAGCTGGGGGAGGGACAGAAAAAGAAATAGCAAAAATATTTCCCCCTCCTAAAGCCTATCTTAGATCATATCCAAAGCACAACCAGTACCAGCGATTAATGGACTCATAAAACAGCATAGATGAGAACAACCAGTGTGGAACACCTAGTCCCCTGCCCCCACCTAGACACCCAGCAAGTGCGTGAGTGTTCTTTGCAGGGTGTTCTCTCTTACTCTCCTGATATAGAAGCATAAGAGATCAGCTTACACTGTCACATGGCATGGCCACTACATGGGGCAATAAGCACACGTAGCACTACACTCCCCAGCCATCTCACCCTGAAGTCACCCTCTGAGTTCACTGCCTTCTCCATCCTCTGTCCTATATGCTGATCTCTGCTTTACCACAGCCACAGGACCTCCACATTAAGGCACATACAGGACATTCTGCACACAGAGACACCAGGTAGTCTTTTCAAGGCCTCTGGAGATACCCAGCCCCGCCGTCCCCCACCCCCAGAAACACACGGCCTTTTTTTCACCCTGCCACTGCTCCACCCTCATTCTCAGTGGCCCATGGACATAGATCAAAAGCCCTGATACTTTACCCACTGCCTCCTCTGGGGTCCAGTAACCTGAGGAGTCACACACCCGCTGGGAGGAAGCCATGTGCACATACTGACGAAATGTCCCATCTTCAGTGCAGGCATCACACATGCTGCCCGGGGCTCTGGACGATGAAGGGACAGACATGGGGATAGCACATTAGATGGACTGGAATGAGAAAATCAGAACAACATTTTTGGGGGGAGGTGTGATGGTTAGTAAGGCCCTGGAGGGTAACTGAGGACACGTATTTCTCAACTCGCTTCCTTTTTGTGTAGACCTCATATCTGCAAAATCCATACTGACATGGAAATCTCAAGGTCATGAAGCAGAAAAATTTAACTAGGTTATAAAGGAGGCCTGTGGAGATGAAAGTGGGCAACTTTTGCCTAGGAACATTAAACCCAAAACAATTACAATCTGAATCTTTCGACATAAAACACTTTTCTGCACCCACTCTCAGTAAGTCACTCAAAAGATCTCTTGCGTTTCCCCCACTCAAAACAAAGTCTTGAGTGAACTTATTGGTTATATGTATTCTTATGTTTTAAACTACTTTTAATTGCATACATAAAAGTTATGTAAAATGTAATGTCCCTTAGCTCTCCATTGCCACTGGGGATATATCCAAATTCTATTAATTTATTTTAGAGTTGTGGGGTATGTGTGAGGATTTGCTACATTAGTAAATTATATGAATGTGATATTTGGGCTTCTAGCAAGCTTCCTCTCCCCCCGATAGTGGACATGGTACCCAATGGGTGCTTTGTGCCCTTTATTTTCCCCTGACTCCCTCCTTTAGCACTGCCCAACATTTGTTGTTCCACCTTTGTACTCATGTGCCCAGTAGTTAGGACCCATTTTCTTAAAGAACTATCACAAAACCCAGCAATCCCACTTCTGGGAATATACCCAGAGGAACATAAATCACTCTGCTAAAGATACTTCCACACGAATGTTCCTTGCAGCACTATTCACAGTACCAAAAACATAGAATCAACCCAGAAGCCTTTACCATGACCCAAGTTCCTCCACAAGCCAGCTCCAACCTCACCTACTACAGTTCCTCCATGACTTTTTATTCTCAGCATAATGAACACATCACCGTTCCACAAATACATCACACCCTTTGCATCACTCCACAAAACACGTTATTCTCTCTGCTGCCGAGTAGCCTTTCCAGGCTTCTCTGCTTCGCAAACTCCTACTCATCCTTCAAGAGCTGCTCAAGTATAAACTTTGCAGCAGCCCTTAGCCTGCCTCCTGTGGGTGGCTGGCAGTCTTTGTTCCATGCACCAGTGTATCTGTTGGCCTCCTCTCCATTCCCTCCTATGTGGTGTTGAGAATTTCCACTCACTCCCTCCTCCTCTTTGCCTGTGAACAGGCCCAGGTCAAGCTCTCTCCTTCTTTCCATACCCCATCAAGTAGCACAGAGACTGGACTCAGCAGTCCCTTTATGAATGCTTGTTTTATGAATGTCCATGAGATGATTAACACAGTCTATGAAGAATTCTACAGGTACCATAATTGAGGTAACCAGAAGAGATAGAGAAATAATAGCTAAATAACAAGAGAAAATGCTTCATGAGGCTTGTCTCTGATTCTTAGACTCTTTTTTGAAGCCCAATTATGAATGACACATCTGAAAATGGAAGCATTAAATCAGGGTCTTTCAATAGGTACAAGGAGAAGAGTAATATTTTGTAATATGCTAGAAAAAGTAGTATTGTAAAAGAAAGGTAATCATTATGATAGCAGCTCCTATTTTTAAGCCCCTTACATACCTGGCATTGTGCCGCTATGTCGTGCTTTTCATAAATGATTTCTAATCCTTATAATAGCCCTATGTTTACAAATGAGGAAAGTTAGGCTCAGAGAGGTTAAGCAAATTGTCTAAGGTCACAGCAAGTTCCTTAATTCCTTTGAGCAAGTTCCCAAATACCATCTAGTGTCCAGTGCTTTGGCAACTAAAAGGTGTCGCTAAGATCCAACCTCTGACTCCAATCAGTGCTCACTCCTGATGTGGACACAATCTGAAGCCTTGTTTCTTTGATGCACTCAGACTTTTTGGGCGGCTGCTGAGTGCGTAGCTGAGGCTCCTCTCTGACATAAGGATTCCAAATACCTGCTGGGGTGGAGTAAACACAACTCCAGGCATGACACAAATCACCGGGTATGTGACGTGAGTCCCCCTGACATGCGTTTGGGAGGCCTCAAAACTGTAACCCACCTCACTGAGAAAAGGAAGCAATTTGAAGGCATTTCTGGCAACAGACTCTCAGCGAGCCAGGACTGATGTCTGCTTTATCGTAACGTTTGTACCAGAGGGAGAATTCAAAGATTAAATTGTTTACATGTATTACATAAACGGATGTAAAACTCCAGTTTTCACAGACCCACAGAGGACTTACTGTTTAGCCAGTCCAACCAAAGCTGCACAAGGTCACACTTGCAAGAAGGCAATTCCTGCACACTTCACGTAGATGTGTGTTGACTCACAAATGGACCCCGTGAGAGCTTGAGAGTTGAGGACTAGGAAACTGCTCTGTAGGGGTGTGAGCCTTAAGTGGTGTCATGCACAAAGTATCTATCAAGGTATCAGGGACAGGTATCAAGATTCCTGGAGGCTGGGAACACCACTTTGAAAGAGAATTCAAGGTTTCCTCCTATCCCTGTCTCCCTCTGGATTCTCTCCCCAGGTTGTCAGTCAAGCTGAAGGGCACAGAAACCTGCTCCTTAGCTGAGGCTTGACACCCAAAGGGAACATGCGACACAAGGAGGAGGAGGGATCCACCTGCTAGAGGGGGAAAGCTCTAACTTCAAGGAAATTATCTCTTTCATGTCCCTTATTTCTGAATTTCCAGCAGATTCCTCAATTCACCTCCATTTAATGGTGGGCTCTTGGGCCAGCTACCATGTTTTTCTATGTCTCAGAGTTCTCACTTATCTTGCAGGGGCTGTGCCTATGGCCAGGACTAAATTGGACAAGTGCAGGTAAAATGCCTAGCCCAATGCTTCTCACATAGCAGGACCCAAGAGATGAGCTACTGTTGCTATTCACAACACATAGTAGGTCTTGAAAGAGTCCAGTCTGCGTGTTACAGATGGAGTTCTGGTCCTTCTCGGGTAAGCCACATTCCCCCAGCCTTCCCTCAAATTGTCAGATGTCATTCTTTTTCCTACCGTTCATTCCTTTTTTGTTTTTAACAAAAATGTCCCTGACACTCATTTACACTAATATGCAAAGGACGAACGAAAGTTAGTTGTAGGTGTAAAGGTTTTCCTCATTAAACATGTATTATGTGTCTGTGGTGGCAGGGCAAGAGACAAAGAGACACAAAATAGTCCCTTGCCCTCCCCCTCGTAGTGCCAGTCAAAAATGAATAGATGATGACAATTCCAAAGAAGGGAAGTCACAGGGTCCAACAGGAGGTGGAGAAGGTGTAAGAAATACCCGCACATGTCAATGAAGTCCCTGATGTACAGCTTGTGGCGGTATGTACACTCACATGTACCCACTCCAGAACTGCCTGGAGAAACATGCCTCACGGCCCTTCCCCAAACACCACTGTGCGAGTGACAAGCCACCTTCCACCCTCACACAGTCAGGAGCAGATGACTGGGACAGGTGGCAGGTGTAGTGAGTACTCAGAAGAGGGAATGCTGGCCACCCAGAGAAGGCAGGCTAAGTGCTACAAAGTTCATGCTTGAATAGCTCCTGAAGGGTATGTAGGAGTATGCTCAACAGAGAAGGTTATTTGGAGAGGCTTAGTTCTGCCCATTTCATCCATGCCATGTTGGTCAGTCTCTCTGGGCCTGCCCTAGTAGGAGAGAGCATGTGTAATGAACCACTGTCTCACACAAGAGCCCAAAGCTCTGCTGAAGTGATGAAGATGGAACAGACTGTAGGAAGCATTCCTGAGCAGTGACGCATGTCTATAGTTCTGAATTGGGGTTCCTCTTGTGTCGTATTCTTTTCTTTGTTCATATGAATGCTACAGAGAGCATGAAACCACTGGCCCATGGCAAGCACCCCTCTCACCTGTCGTACACCATGCCACTAATAGGAGGCAGCCAGTGGATCGTGAGGGACTTGCGGGTCTGCCCGATGACCATGGGTGGGATGGGAATGGGAGTGGGCTTTCTGCTTTCACTCCATTGCTGATATACCAGGTCCAAATAGCAATGCATTCGGGCCACTTGGTTAGGGGTGAAGCTGTCAGTGCAGTTATCATCTGAAGAGAAAAAAAAGGAGCACAAGAGATGGAGAATTTAACCTGTGAAGTCCACCAAGGTGGGAATGAACACTACCTTGTTCAAGACTGAGTTACCAACACCTAACCCGACGCTGTGTACTCCTTAAGCTCAATGTGCACTTGCTGAATGAAAGAACAAATACATTCTGTTTCAGAAAGTACCTAAGCTGGAAGTGGGTGAGAGAGGGCAGACATAGCACTTGCATCTCTTTGAGGCCATTGCCTCAGGGCTGGCTGGCCAGGGTGAGACCCAGCTGATAGTTGCTTATTCAGCAAACCACAAGATGGCAGTGTTTCAACAGATGACCCGTTCACTTGGGAACATTTGTGGACTTGCAGACACCTGCTTTCTTGCTTAGTGATGCTGCCAAAGGCTAGTGAGCATTCAGTGGAGTTGCACGAGAAAAGAGACAGCCAAAATGTCACGGAGATAAAGGGGTGGGAATGGTGGTCCCAGCTCTACTTTGAGAGCTGGCAAAGTCTTCCTATTAGGTACATTTTTCATGGGGTTGGAAAGGGAGTTATCTTAATTTCAGGGAATTTTCCAATGAAAATACAACAGTCAAAGACTGCCCCACTCTGTTTCTTAAATGTGTCCTCTTCCCACCTCAAAGGTAGTGCTACGAAGCTCTGTCCTCTGATCTCTCTGCCCCTAGCAAGGGCCACTGTCCATGTCCGGGGAGGAGAAGTGTTGGGGCTTATGTGTTTGATGCACCTGAATTATCCACCTCAGAGAAACACAGAAACGTCTTGAAGGGTGACAAATGGAGCCAGCTCATCACTTCCCTTTAAGGTCATGAGCAGGGTCTGGTGGTTTATCTTTTTTATGGATAGCTCTAGAAGAACTTATCAAACAAGCCCCTGAAACACACAGAAAAATTATCTTCCTTCACCATTGGAATAGGTCATCAAATCAAATCAGCCCTTAATTTTGGGGAAAAATTTGAGTCCATTATCAGGAGACTGGATAGTTTTACTTTTTTTTTCTAGAAACAAGGAAAGTATGAGATACAGAGAAGAAGGATAATATAGAAGTCGAACTGAAGGACAGGACCAGGCAATACAGTTGTCACCAGGGTCAGGAAGACACGGTTTTCAAAATGATATGGCACCATTTTGGTAGGGCTGGGACAGTGGCAGGTAATTAAGAATCAGTGCTTGGCTAGCATCGGAAGAAGATAATCTGGTATTTCTTAAACACATAAAATAAAATAGAATTATAATCTTAAATTAACCAAGCCACCTTGTTGATCAACTGTAAAAACAGTACAAAGAGCAAACTTTACCCACAAACCTCTTTCCCCCATCACAACAGGACTCTCCTTTAGAGTAAATGCCTAAGGATGTGAACAAAAACAAGAATAACCTAATTCTAGAAGTTGCAGGAATCTCAAGAGGGTTTTACTATTTAAGATAGAAATATATAAATAGAAAACAAAACACGAAGATGGTGATGATACCTGTGTAGCTCATGTAGTTGCTGAATGGCGCCCCTGGGAAGTAGGTGAGGCCACAGGTGTCGTTGGTAGGCTCTGGGTCCTGGCACAGCTTACTCTTGGGCATGGGGGCAGTGTCGGCACAGAGGTCTCCTGTTTCCATGGATGGCACTGTCTCCCTGCAGGGATCATCGCAGGATTCTGTTTCACTGACCCCTTGGAAGACATGGTAGAGGCCTAGGACATGCCCCACCTCATGGATCATGATGTCGGTGCGGCCAGGTATCCCATAATAGGCTGTGTTGAGGACAACGCCACCTGCAATGGAAGGTTTGGAAAACACCTATGAGCACAGAGTGGCTAGTAGCCTCTCCAGTCCCTAATTATGTCTTCTGATGAACATCAGCCATTCTGTTTCAACCCTAAGGACACATTCTATAACTTCCAGAGGCATCTGGTCATCACTCTTCCCTCTTGCCACAAACACCCTCTTTTCCTTCTTTAGCCCCTATTATGCTTGAGTGCTATACTAGAGGCCAGAGATGTCAACATGGACAAAACAACATAGCAGAGGGCCAGGATTCTCAGCACTGTGTTCTTATTAAAATCACCTGGGGAGCTAAAAGAAAAACACACACACACAAAGGTGAGTTATTGGTCTGAGTGAAAGCACATGGAATTTGGAGGTGAGGAAATCTGGGCCTGACTCCTAGCCCCTCCACATACTAGCTCTGGGAACTCGAGCAACTGTTTGACTGCCTAGAACTCAGTTTTTCTGTCTATAAAGTAGGGATAGTAATACCAGTGTTTTAGGTCTTTTGAGTACATTGTAGGAGTTTAATAAATGACAGCTGTGTAGGCTGCCTCTGATTTCACAACCTCTACACTCAAGGAGTCAACATCCAGTAAGACAAAAGACAAGTCAACTGAACTAACAGGAAATTCAAAACATCACAGGCACTATAAGAACATGTCCCACCCTCATTCCCCCAAAATCTCCCAGAGAACCATGAGGTATTTCAGAGAAGAGTTTATTGCATCTGGTTGGGCTTAGATGAAACACCTAGTAATGTCATTGTACCCATACAAAAGAAAAGGCTACGGAGAATTGAGTGCCCCAACTGCTATTTGCCTGGCTTGTTGAAATCCCAATCCCTGCTTCCCTCCTCTCCCTATGGTTGAATCTCTTGACTTTCCTTCTTTATTCCTCAGAATTGTCAGGACCAGACCCAGCCTCATCTCTAGAACCTGAGACAGAGAATGCCAACAGCTCTGGATCAACCCTCTGGGAACCAGAGTCACCCCTGGCCATGTTGCCCAGCTGTCCCTGCTCTTCCATTTCAGGTCTGATCCCCATTTCCAGGACTCGCTGCATTCCCCACACCTGAGTTTTCTTTATATCAATAGTCTTCTGAGTACAGCAGGCCCTTGAAAACAGCCCTGCCTTCCTCTTGCCAGATCATATTTCAAGGACTATTCCTGTTTCTAAATTCCATGCAATGTTTCATAGATAACCACACACATGACTTTACAAGCAGGAGACAACACAAGGGATCTGGCACCATGCCTGTTGGTACTCGCTAATAGGTAGCTCAACCTGCCTCTTGACTACTTACTACACAGGACAGTCTCTAAATCCAAGTTCTAGTCTCTCCCAGTCTACTCAAACATGCTGGCATTAACCAAACTGTGTCCAGCCTTATATTCTGATAGTGTTTACTTTCAATCTAAAATAGAGCTAGACCTCACCTCCAATGTTGATCATCTTTACCACTTCCAACAAAAATTCTTATTCTGTAAGATTATCATATTTTCCTTTTATAAGGTTACTTTCTGAATATGTCTTCCATTTGTGCATAATCACGTAAACATAAGGTTAAATAGTCTTGAAAATAGGTTTATTTCAATAACATCCAGAGTGCTGGTATTGGAAAAAACACGGTATTTCCACCTTCCAAGACACCAACACTTTGTGTTTACACATTTTATTACATTTAGTCAACTTTATCGAAGTTCATGCAATGTTATACCCTCCATCCTTTAACAGCAACATCGGCCTTCGCATCATGGAGGAATTCTAAGAGAATGACTTTCTGTCCTCCCCCAACAGTCCTTTCAAGTGCCCTCACCTTCCTCATCTTCTGCCTTCACATTTTTTCCCTCTACACACAATTAGTTCCTTTTTCCTACTCTCTCTTTTCCTTTCCCCACCTCTAAAGAAGCTTTAGATTTTTTAAAAAAAACTCAACATCCAAAATAGAATTTAGGAAGGCTATAATTTGTTTATGAAGTTTAAGTATCGACATTGATTAGTTTTTCCCAAATTGTGTTCATGCAATCCAATCCCAGGTGATACTTTGAAAGAAAAAAAAAATGGTATCACTGGTTAAATGTTCTTAAGAAAAATGCAGCATGCCATACTCTCCTCCTAAAAAATTATACTGTAAATGAGAGTTGTTATGTTAATGTCCCTGAAAACTCCTGCAGTGTTTAACCCTTTGCTTTCCAAACTACTTGAACACAGAACCGGATGCCTCAGAACATAATCCAGGAAGTACTCCCAAAAATGAAGACAACCCCCAACCAATAGTTATTTTCTATCTGTGTGTCTTACCTTTAAGCAAACATCAAATAGCTCTGCATTGTATGATCAGTCCAGCCCTAGTCCTTTTGTGATCTCCTTCAGTTAAAGAGAAAGGAATTACAGATAAACATAAAGAAGGTTCCTGGAAGAAGGGAGGGCAGAAGCAACATGTGTCAAGGAAAGGGATGGATCGGAGTGTGGGCATGGAGGCACTGGAGGGTGCTATTCTAAATGAGATATTTCCAAATCCAAGAAGATTCTACAACAGATGCATATTCAGCTTTGAAAAAGAAACAGCTTTTATTTGTTTGTTTGTTTGTGTGTGTATGTATGTATGTATGTATTTTTTTTTTTTTGTCAAAGTCTCACTCTGTCACCCAGGTTGGATTACACTGGCATGTTCATGGCTACTGCAGCCTTGATCTGCTAGGCTTAGGCGATCCTTCCACCTCAGCCTTCCACGTAGCTGTAACTACAGGCATGCTTTATGTCACCTAGCTAATTTTTTTGATTGATTATAGAGACAAGGGTTTACCAAGTTGCCCAGGCTAGTGTCGAGCCCTGTCTCCCAAAGTACTGGGATTACAGGTGTGAGCCAAACCAGCTTATTTTTAAATGGAGGAAGAAGCATAAACGGCAAGTCATCATCATTCCCAGAAATCCCCTTCACAACTGGGACAACTGGCCAGGCTCTCCTCCCTGGGATTCCTAATGCATACTCCAAGACAGAAGAGTATCATTTCACCCAGACAACACTTCAATTTTAATTAAAAACATGAACATTTTAACACATATTTGCAACAGTTGTATGTTCAGTTCCAGAAAGATGGGACTTCTGTTTAAAAAATGGTTTGTATGGAACATATGGTAATAGGTTTAGTAATCACATGTGTGTGAAATAGAATATTGCACAAAATATAAAAATACAGATATATTGAACAAAATATTGTTTTAGTTTAGGGATAACTGCTCTGCACACCAAATACATGTTTAGAAAAAGGGCCCAAGGTCCTGGACCTCTTATAGTATTTCTACCCGCTAGAACACAAGGTTGTAGAATCATTCCCCTGGACTAGAACTGGAGAGCCATGGAGTGTGGTATGTTTGTTGACCCTAACCAGCTCTTTGGGCTTGGTTTTGCTGTTTGACCTTACCCTAGGTCTCTCTCCTCATCTGTAAAGTGGGGCTCTAGACTGGCTTATCACTAAGATTTCTTCCTATCCTCATTCCAAATCTCAGAGATAACTAACATGCAGACCTTTAGAGACAATCATGAACACATTGGGAAAAAACTGTGCTGTTATAGACTGTTACTACCTTGGCTGGGTCATTTGTGCTGAACAGCACCCACCTCAGTAGCCTGAGGGAGGGGGACGTGCTGGGAATAAGCTGCCGGACAACCTACTCTCGGATCTGCGGCAGGTTTCCAAGTGACCCAAATTCACTGCCCATTAATCCACATACCCTTCCCACCAGTGTGTGCCTCTCATTCTCTCCCACGCATACGTGAAAAAGTCCCCCACTGTTCTTACTCACTCTTCCAATGAAAATAAACTTGTTAAATGATTAGAGAAGTAGGTTTTAATCACTCACAGACACACACACTCATATTATTAGGGGTGTGAATTTTTATCACTCACAGAGACACACGTTGTCATATCTATGTGAGGGAGAGGAAAGTCATTTATTTCATGATTTAGTTTAGAAAAGTTCTTTTGCATTTTAATGAAAATTACTCTCTCTCTCTCTCTCATGCCAAAGCTTGCTTGAGGTATAAAGACATGTTGCCCAAAATCTGAAAAAAGGAATGCAAGCACTTCTTTTCATTACAAGGAAGAAGACATGATAATAAATAATACATAAAAACTGAGTCCCCAGAATGGCAACCCCTTCCTGCCCTTGTCACCACTTAGGTCTTTCCAGAAGAGGGTTCTGAGGGGCTGTGCATTCTTACCCTTTCAGGCAAAGCTACAACCATTTTCCAGGGACAACATCATGGGCATAATGAACTGATAGTACGAAATGCTACTTGTCAGTACTATTGTACACATATATCCAAACAATCCAACACTGTCCTCTGAAGCTAAAAACCTGAGTCCCACACTTTCCTCCATTTCTGTCACTGGCAATGTGAGTCAGGCTCTGGGTGGCTACATGTGGGTCCTTACACCATGGTATGGAAGATTTTCTCTCAGAAGATGGTCTTTGACATGACCAAGGCCCTTCTTTGATTGTGGATATTCACTGGAAAGGTATTGATTCTTATTCTGGAGGACATTCATTCAAAGTTCTCAAGGTCATTTCCTGATCTGTCTAATGATAATAAGAATTCCTACCTCAGAGTGTTGTTGTGAAGATTGAAGTAGTAATATAGATAAATAAGCTCTTAGTTTAATTCTCAGAGGAAAGTGACTCAAAATATATGTTGGCCCATTTGTCAGTATTCCTACTTCTATATACAACCTGGTAGTACATGTTCATTTACCCATAACCCTCAAAAAGTCCCACTTTTATTCATCCAGTGAACAGAAGGTGGGGCCTGATCACACACAGGACAGAATTCCAAGAGTGAAACCAAGAATCGCCAGGCACAAGAGGCCAACACCCTCAGCAAGAGCTCTGATTTTCCTCCATGCTACTCATACTTTTCTCCCATGTTGTTCTGATCCTGATGTCACAGTCACCAAGAAGATAAACAAGAGCCTATGTCATTCAAGTCCTGAGAGGATCCCATGGCTTAGCCAGCCTAGTAATGAACTAAGGGTAGGGATTCCTATTCATACTACTGGCATGATCACCACCACATTAACCTAAGCTGAAAGAAAAGAGATAAAGAGTAAATCATGGGAACGCATAGATGGTAGAGGGGCCAATAAAGTTGACTGCACCCTGACTTGTGAATCCCTGGGAAAGGAATAAAAACCCTAAACAGATTTGTGTGATCTGACAGAAGATGGACCTTGCTTCATTCCAGTGATGGATTCCTGAATAGGTGTTCTCGTTCTGGAAAGGAATGGCTGACCAGGAAAGCTAAGCAGGAAGGGTGACAAAGAGCCTGCCAGACAATCCCTGAGGGTGGGTCACTGTTATAGGTAAAGAGCTCCATGACCCTTAGTCATCACCTGATGACTAAAGACCAAATGAATCATTTCCCCTGTACCCTTGGTCTGTATAAGCAATCTCTACAGTTAGATACAGCCCTGAGCAAAAGAGGCATAATTGGCTGAGAGGAAATTTCTAGTACTTAGCAACATGGGGCTTCAAATAGAAATTAAGTTCAATCACAGAAGAATACAAAAAGTTATATTTCTTTCATGCTTGAATATGTATGCTGAAACGTGAACTCAATGCATGCCAGTATCATCATCTTATTCATGGAACACAACATGAATGGGCTCTTGGGACTTAGCAACTGGGGACATGTGTGGCACAGCTGTTTCTTAATGAACAGGCAGGAGGAGTACACAGCATTCTTAGAAGATCTTTCAGGCTTGGTTATGAAAGACAAGCCCAAACAATAAGACAGAGCCATTGTGTGGTCTGGGGGATGGTGAAAAGGAATAAAAGAAATAAATTGCTGATTAGAAGATGAAATTTTAACAGCCAAGCTTCCAACACAATACTACATTTCCAAGTTCCTACTGGCTTTTCCAAACTTTAACACAGACTACCAGAACGGCTCATGATAAAGAGAATGATTCCCAAAGCCACTTCTATTATAAACTTCAGGCAGCTTGAAAAGAGGACACTGGTTGCAACAACTTTAAAACAGGTCTGTAAAGTTTTTAGGGCTGAAAATTATATGCCCATAAAACAGGGAGATTGAGGTCAGGTCTGCAGGTTCCTACATAATCATTTCCAGTGACTGGCAAAAATTTGCTCTGCAAGACATGCTGTCAACAATAGAGGGAGGAAGCTATAAGTACGTGCCTTGGGGTCCAGGAGGGAGTCTCAGGGCAGGGAAGGAAGGAAAGTGGTGTGACGGGATTGGTAAGCAAATGGTGAGAAAGAAATGGAAGAGATTTAAAACTTGTAATGAGAGTTAGAAAGGGAAGTGAATCTTTCAGAGAACCAACCTGGGAGCCACTCATCTCCAAATCTTCTATCAGTTTCTTGGTTTTACAGTCTTTTGTTCCAGACAAGACTAAGATGAGCATGTGTATGGGTATGAATTTTGCAAA